GCAGACGTATCATAATCAGCACACCTACTAGTTTGAGACCATTCAATCTCATAGCCAGTCAATGCCATGTATTCCGTCACTTCTTATCGTTGGACTCGGCCAGCGTTACAGCCATTTTCGTGTTCCAATAATCTGTGTTAAATAGGTTAGCATGTCTCAATAACATAAGGTCTACCACAGAAGCACATAATCTTATAACAGCCGGATTTCAATAATGGGTCATATTTCTTTCTAGAAGCTGACATAGAACCCGAAACGAGGATGTCTCGTGGACTGTCTCAACTTGAACGTCGTATTTAATCCAAACGCCTGCCGTACAACGGGATTCGGCCGTATTCTTCTTTTCATGAAATCAACCTACGAATCTCTCTTCATTCACTTGCATACTAAATGAAGGTCTCTCTCAACAATATTGTCTCGGGAGATTCATCGAAGCAAAGTGCTGATGGTTGGAGTAAATAGATAGGGAATTACGTTTCAGATGTAAATGGCATTCGTAATTTACTATATCTACTTATAATGAGCTATTATTAGTATGTATGCATGTATCAAATACATGAATTAACTCGCGAATTAATTAATTAATAGTAGATAAAAGAGACCTACTTCATCCTCTATAATGGGATCATTGGCTTCTAGTTGCACCCTATTTTTGCTGTTTTGGCAAAAAAATAAACCAAAATCGTTGAGGTGCTTGGCTCGTTTATCGACTTCGTCGGTTTCCTCATCTAGAACATGAGTCGTGGAGGGCTGGTCAGGGACTATAGTTATAGCGTCTCGTACCTCGTCCAGGCACAATGCGCAGCTGACCAGGTGACAGTCTAGCTGACCCAGCTGAGTGTTCAGCAAAAGTTGTAAGTCAAATGTGTTAGAAGTAAACATTTCAATAACGTCAGCCTCTTCTTTAGAGGTCGTGTCATTATCATGTTCAACATTGTCTTGCGGAACAGCTTCCATTACGGCCGACTGAACAGATAAGTTCGTGACAAGATTATCCGTTCTAAATCGATGTCCCAAACATTTAATAAAAATAAATTAAATTTAAATTACCATGGCGAAATGCAGGGTGTATGTGTAAGCAACTATATCAAAGAATGTAGAAGACGCAAGAATGCTTATAGGACAGTTTACATGATCAAATTAAAACCAGATATTGATTTTTAATATGTATATAGTCAGTTATAAATGATCGTATATCTATTAAATTTCATATTAATAAGTTCACATTTCAAGAGAAGGATTGGTCTGACCCTTGCTTTTATTAAGTACGAGATTAAGGAAAACTTGATTGTAGGAAATCAAAAGCTATTTAAGTGAATAACTGGATATGCCCAAAGATCAAGCAAAAAAATAAGAAAAGCATATTAAATAATAATTCAATTTTACGCATAGGGTTCACTCATTCGCGAAACAATCCAGAAAGACATTTCAATAGTTCTTAGCCAGACAAGCACATAAAGCTTCTTAGTAAAATAATTGAAATAAATGTCTAGCTCTGGCGACATGATTAAAAAAGAAACTGGGCACTCCTAGAAATATTAATCGCAAAAATGTGCCGAAAATTCATAACGGACAAAAAGTATAATCCAACCATTGATCATAAGTATAGAAAAAAAACAAGATTTATTCAATAATTATTATATAATTTAACTATACAAGAAAAAGCTTCGAATGAAAGATAAATGAGATAAGTAGTATTATAGTTACTAAATTAGTAACGAACATTAGCGTACGTTTAAAAGTAAGGTTTCGAGACTACCAGCAAAACAATTATATGATATCTATTCACCTTATTTCGTTCAATCTAATTAAGGACTGGTAATTGAATTTTTCTACAATGATATGGGTAAGCATCATATTGTTGGGATTACTTCCATTTCGAGTAGAAGTGTTGGGTGAAGAGATTCGAAGGTCGGTTTCACC